CCCTCCCACTTCCCTTTTCTGCCCTTCACTCTCCCACTTTTAGTGCCAAAGCCTCTCTTCAGAATCCAAAGTTCTCTGTGTAGCTCAAATGCATAAGCGTCAGGATTAAGTAATTTCCCAGCGAGGGAGTTAATGACTTAATGCGAAACTTCTCCTACGAGGCGCTCACATTTTAAAAGCAAGAACCAGGCAAGGGCAATGCAAAACCCAAAGGAATGAATCTATAATGGAAAACTCTAAAACACTGCCGCTGGAAGCAAGAAAAATGTCTTTTATTCACACCAGGAAGCGAACTTATTATTCTAGCCACTCATTCGGCCATTCCGGCTGCAGCTTTACCAAAGGAAGCCAAGCTCTGCTCTCAATGGCAAGTGGATGTTCCCTGTATGAGGTGGAAGTACAGAATGTGGAGGTTAAGAGAAATACAAGACCAAATCAATGAGTTTTCCAACCAAGGGCTTTACATGTACTTGGGGAACAGAAAATGTGAATGCTCTAAACGTTAAGTTATAAATTCCGAAATTCTATATAATGCAGGTGCTCCACATTTAAAGGTATTCTATGCTCAAATACTAGTGATAATAACCCTGCCTCTTCCTCGTACCGTGGGCCCAGGAACTGGCCAGAAAGACAGCAACCCAGCTTTCCTGTGCTGACAGTGACCACTAGTGGCTGGCAGGGGAATGGCATGATCCAACTCTAGCCTCCCCACCACCTCTCTTCCCATTTTGGGGGTGGGAGGGAGAGGGAGAGGGAGAGGGAGAGGGGGGAGGTTTAGTCCCTTATGTTTTTACCATTCCTGGTTCCTTAATTTCTAAAAGGAAACAAAAGATCCTAAATCTCAGTCAATATAAATCGTCTCTCCACAATTAAGTAGGACACTGCTACTGTCAGGAAAAAGAAAATTCATAAATTAAGTGAAACTGACATAATCAAGATCCCCCATTTTCAACAACCGTCAGGATATCCCACGTGCCCCTTAAAGATATTTTAGGCATCTCCACCTTCTCAGCTACCTCCTCATCGTTCAATTAAGCTTGCTTTTCCCATTAACTCTTTTTTAATTAAATTCTTTTTCAATTACAGTTGACATACAACATTATGTTAGTTCCAGGTGTACAACATAGCCATTAGACATTTAAACACCTTAAGAAGTGACCACCCATCCACTCGTAATAAATTAACATTCTGTGTGAAATTTTCTATCGTTTTTTTTTCCCCTAAATAACTGGCACTTCTCTTGGCTTCCAATGTAAAAGCTGGTTTCCCCTACGTCGTGACTTAAATAATCTTTTGCCGAGACTGTGTGTAATTGTAGATCAAGAAAGCACACGCTGTATTTACAAGTGTGGGAACGAGAAGGGAGTCAGGAAGGGCTGAGGGGTAAGGAGAAACGCTGAACCGCTCCAGGAGGGACCTTACGGTGTCTTACTTCACTACAGGATCCTAAGCACTCGGCCCATCTTGGGCATCTCTGGCTCACAGCAAGGCAGCCAGCACTTAGGGTGAAGTTGGGAGATGAGGAACCGCACCCTGAGAATGGCCACCCAGACTTAGCCTCCCGGCATCTGCACATCTTCAAGGGCTTCTCATTCATCCCACCTGCCTCTTCCCGGGTTGCGGGCTCGATCCCCAGTAGGGGGCGTGCAGGAGGCAGCTGATCAATGATTCTCTCTCATCATTGATGTTTCTCTCTCTCCCTCTCCCTCTTCCTTCCTCTCTGAAATCAATAAAGAAATACATTTTTTAAAAAAAATCTAACAGGAGAGGTAAGATAGATCTACAAGAAAATTACACAGTAAAGAATAAGGTAACCCTGACCAGTTTGGCTCAGTGGATAGTGTCGGCCTGCGGACTGAAGGGTCCCGGGTTCGATTCCAGTCAGGGGCATGTGCCTTGGTTGCAGGCACATCCCCAGTGGGGGGTGTGCAGGAGGCAGCTGATCGATGTTTCTCTCTCTTCGATGTTTCTAACTCTCTATCCCTCTCCCTTCCTTTCTGTAAAAAAATCAATAAAAATATATATTTTATTGGTCACACAGCAGACGTGACCTCTGGGGGAGAGAAAGCAGGACAGAAACACAGAGAAGGAAGCGCCTCCAGCCCAGGGGGCAGAAGAGGCAGAACGAGGACCTTCCATCAAGCTCCCCACGCGTGAACTGAGTTGCTAGGGAAGTCAGAGGAGAAATGCTGCAGGGAAGGGGTTTGGAGCATTATTCTAACGGCAAGGGGAGCCACGGAAGGCTGTTCTGTTGCCTGATGGCGGCATAACCAGGGTGTGCTTTAAGATTTGAGTCTGGCACATGGCACAGACAAGCGATTTGCTGAGGACACATTCATCCAGTTGAAAGATCCAGACCCAAGGGAAGCCGGAGTGGGCCGATTGAGAGATCCTTTCCAACATAAGATCCACGGCCTGGGTGGACGTGGGAGGAAGGATGCTAAGCTGATGCCACAAGTTCAAGTCTGACAACAGCCACGTCTTTACGAAAACACCACACCAAGCCCCATTTAGCCCTGCGACCCATATAGGCCACTCCTTCTCGATCCATCCTGCTCTTAGATCCATACTGCCTGTACCCCGGGGCCAGGGCCATCCCCTGCAAGTCTCCCCTCGGTGGCCCCAACATGGGGATTTCCAGGGAAGGAAACAGGAACGCGCCCCTCCTCCCCATCCAGGTAACATGAGGCCTTGAAACCTGCCATCCCCAGAGGCAACACATCTTCCCGCCTGATAGGTCTCCTGTCTCCCACTCCCTGGCAAAAGCAAGGGCGAGCGGGGAGACAAGATACACTGACTCGGTGGGGAAATTGGGCCGGGTGGACCCGGCTCTTGTCCACTGCCCAGGACAGCGACCCCTGGAATCTGACCTCCAGGAGTGCAGATTGAGCCAGTCAGCGGGTGCCACCTTTAAGATGTTGAAGGGGGAACGGACTTCAATGAAACGGACCCAGCTCTGCCTGGGGACTCTCCCTCCCATGGGTCACTAGAGCCTGCTTTGCGAGGCTGAGCCTTCTGAGACCGGAGTGTTAGAATCGTGTGTGCTCATGTCTCCCTTACCAGGCTCCGAGGTCTGAGGGTCGCGAGCAAGACACACTGAACGCCTTGCCTTGGACACTGCGGGCACCTGAAAATCACTCACTGGACGGACTCTGCCCACTTCCCTGCCAGCCCTGCCTCCTTCCTTTCGGGGTCACACCTTCTGCTTCACGGTTCTCGGTGGGACCCAGGAGGGGGCCCTCCCTCTGCCTCCGATAGATCTTTTCTGGACCAAAGGGCCCCGTTGCGTCATGCGCTCCCTGCCATCAGCCATACAAGTGTCTTTAATCACCTCTGAAACCAGCCTCTCCCCAGGCTCAGCCACTCCGCCCAACCCAGTTCCAGAATCCCCTGCTGCCCGCGTTCCCCCTGGGGGAGCAGAGAGGCCACGGAGGGCCAGTGGGCTCAGGGCCCAGCCAGCCCCGACTGGCTTCACCCAGCAAGGATGCGGCGCCTTCCCACTTTTCCAGCAGCCGACTTCCTCCCCTTCGCCCTCAATTCACATAAAGGCCTGAGAGCCACCCCCAAAAGAGCACCCCATGCTTCACATCCCGGGCCCATGGGTCTCTCAGGCTCAGGAGTAACAGAGATACAGACGCCGGCCAGGTTACCTCCCAAGAGGGCAGTGACCCTTAGAGCGCCCTCCCGGAGGCACCAGGCTCCCCCAGGAGTGACCCTGAGCATCCTCCTTCCTCCCCGGCTGCCGCCACTCAGCAGCCTCAGGAGAGACGGATGGACCCACTGACAGCCCTCCCGCCTCCTCCCCTTCTCCCGTCCATCCTCCTTCCTCTCGGGTCCTGGAAGGAGCTACCTCAGTGTCCAGGTGTGTGAGTGTGTTGGGGGGGGAGGATTTTGGGGGGTTTCCTGGAACCCCAGCCTAGACCTCCACACGGGTGCGCATTTGGGCCAAAATTCCAGAGCGTTCTGAAACCTGGAAGTCCCCCATCCAAAGGTCTGCTCTGGAACTGTCACTCTGGAATGTGCCCCACCCCCCACCCCTCACCCCCCACCCCCCACCCCCACCCCCCAGCCACACATTAAGGCTCAAGGGGGTGGGGGATGGCCTCCAGGAGCAAACACCCAGCTTTAGGGTCAACACTGTGGAATTCTTGAGCGACGGGGTTTTCCTGGGTGTAAAACTGCCGGCCTGGGGCTGCAGGGGCGCTACTCCACCTCGGAGGCCGAAAGGGCCCTGGAAAAGCCATCGAGGGTGGGGGGAGGGAAGGGATCTAGAAGCCACGCTGCCAGAAGTCGAGGCTCTGGGATCGTCTGAAATCCCAAACTTCGCGCAGCAAGACTGAGTGCTCCCCTCTTCACCACCCCCACCCCCGCCCCATGGGGCCCGCAGCGACGCTCCCCTGAACCCCGGAGCAGAAGGAGCCGGGCAGCCGGGCTCTCCCCATTTTCTCTGGCCTCCGAAACCTGCCCTCCCGTGCGCCGTAGCGGGCAGGGGAAAGGACACCCGCCCACAAGTCGCTGTGGACTGGAGCCCCGCGGAGGGAGTGGGGCTGGAGGGGGCACACCTTGGAGATCCTAATTGTGGAGCTCTCCCCGCCGCCTCCCGCTCCGAGCCGCCGGCCGGGTTCCCCCGCCCCCAGTCCCTAGCAGGTTTGGAAAGTTTCTGCGACCCAGCGGGGCTGGAGCGGCGTCCTCCGCCCCCGGGTTCTCTGCCCCCGTCCACTCCCCGCCGGCCCAACCCGACTCTTCCGGGCGGCGAGGGGAGGGGAGGGCAGAGAAGGCAGCAGCCCTTACCTGGGACGCGCCGCCGGGCCGGCTCCGGCGCGGGGTTTGGGGCCAACTCCAGCCCCAGGCGAGGCGCGGGCGGAGGTGGGAGGGACGCGGTGCAGGGCGCGGGGCCAGGCCCAGCCCTGGCGGAGGGTGCCTGGGCCGGGGCGGGAGCTCGGGGCTCGGGGGCCTGCCTCTCCCCGGACTGGGGCTGTGCTGGCCAAGCTCGGGCGCTCGCTCTCACGCTGGCCTCTCCCCGCGCTCGGCTCCTTTCTCTCGGCGAGGGTGGGCCGGCGCCGGCACTACCGTGACATCACCCCCATCCAGGCGCTTATCGGGCGAGCGCGGCCCCAGGTATGTGCAATCGGTTTACACTGTAACAAAGCCCGCCCAGCCCTCCCCCAGCGACTCACCTCCAGCTCCGGCGAGTCGCACTTCCCGGCCCGGGCGGGAGGCCGGAGTTTCTGGCGGAGCCGGCCAGTGGGTTGTTGCTGTTGACCGCCACGCCCCCCGCACGCGGGCGCGCGCACACTCGCGCGCACTGTTCTCTGGACTCGGCGCTTCTCTCTCCAGAAAGCGATCTGGGGGTGCAGCCCAGCCCACCTCGCGAGCGGGCTCTCCCTCCCCGCGTACCAGCGCGCGTTCCCAGGCACGTCCTGTGGGCCACCCCGGGCGTCTCTCCGTGGTGGACACCTAGTCTTTGTCACCTTCGTCCCGGGTCTCCCGTGAGACCCTCGCCAGACACAGCTCGCCGCTCCGGGCCGGAGCGAGCCGCACGCTCAGACACAAAGTCCGCCTTTGTCACACCTTCTGCGCCCCCTCCCCTCCCCGAGCTTGCACACGTGGACACACCGCACCGAGCGTCCGCCTCCTGCGTGCGCGGTTCTTCCCCAACACCTGGGCCACCGAGTGTGCGTGGGAACACCACTGTGCGCGCCCCTCAGGCAGCGGGCCGAGCTCAGAACCGCTCGGGACCGTGAGCAAACTTCGCCCCAAACCCGAACTAACCCGCGCCTGGGTTTCCAGGGACCCGCCCAGACTCGGGCCAACTCTGAGCGCGTGCTCCTCTCCCCGCGCCCCCGTTCCCTGTGCCGACTTGTCCTAATGAGCCTTCTGCTTCGGCTCCCCTGGGTGCCGCGTTTAACCTGGCCCGGGAGGACTCGGCGCTGCGGGGCGTCGGCCCTCACTCCCCGTCCTGCCCTTCCCATCGCCCGGGGACTTTTCCACGAGTTCGGGTACCCTCGGCCCTCTCCACGCCCCACCTCCACTCCCTGCTCCGGGGTAGGATCAGCGGGCGGCCCCCCTTTCCCCTCCAGGAACCCGCAGAAAGGGAGCCGCAGAATTGAGGAAGCGAATCCGAGCTGGGGCCTCCCCGGCCCGGTAAACAAGAGGAGATTTTCCGGCGCCTGCCTTCCCCCGAGGCTGCGGGCTCCCGCGAGGTGGGCTGAGCGGTCCCGGGCGCCCAGCGGGGCCTAGTTAGCGCGCGCGGGAGGCCCGGCGGGGCCGCGGGCACCGGGAAGGGAGAGGTGGTTAGGCCTGGCCGGGGCCCCGGGGACACGGAGGGAGGGCAGGGCGCTGGGTCTCCCGGGTGCTGGGTCTCGTGACGCTAGTTGCCTGGGGGATCGCCCGAGGCGCGCGGTCGGAGCCTGCCGGTGGCGGGGCGTGTTTGCTCTGCCTGGAGCGCCCGGGGAGGGGGGCAGAGGGTGGAGGAAGGGCGGGGGGGAGGGGGAGAGCGCAGCGGGAGGAGGGGTGGCAGCTGGTCTCGGGCTACGGGGTGGCCAGGTGGAGGAGGGGAACCTCTCCGGCTGTTTGTTTGCGAGCCTCAATCTATGACAACCAGGAGTCTAACTCCGTGAATCACCCGAGCTGCCCGAGCGATAAACCTCGGGCCGCGCCTCCCCTCGCGCGCACCGCCGTTTCGGACTCTGGGAGGGACTGTTTGCTCAGCGGCAGGAGCTGGCAGTGGGGCCCAGGTTTCCTAGAGCCCTGTCTCCCTTCCTGTGCCTGGTCCTCGCAGGCTGGGCTGGGAGATGAGGGAATTCTTTCAGTTCTTTGAAATATGAAGCGGAAGAGCGCAATTCCCTGCCTTAACTCCACCCCCACCCCCACGCAAGGCCCAGGCAGCCCGGGTGCCCACCATGAAACGGGGAGCAGCCGGTCTGACCGAGAGCCACGGGCCCAGGGCTGCAGCTTCTTTAACTGATGCCCAAGTCAGTGTGCCGAGAGGGGTCGCTCATTAGCATAAGTGACCTGCTATTCAGAGAGGCGGGAAGGGTGTGGGGGAAGGGAGTTGGGGAGATGGGAGAGGTCTAAGAGACCTCCGGGAGACACCGGTGAATTGTGGCTCCCTCTCAATGTGCTCTCAAGCTTTGGGAAGGAACCCCTTCACCCTACAGAGACCTCGCCCAAGAAGCAAGTCTCGCCCCTACATCTAGGCCCAGGCAGGGCAAGGCTG